CTGGGGAAAAAAAAACAAAACAAAAGAAAAAAACCCACAAAACTATCAGAAACCTAAAGAAAATATTAATTTCACGCTTTTCTTAAAAGAAGCCAGGAGCAGCTCTTCCCCGTTCCCCCGCAGGTAACGCTAGGTGGTGCAGCGAGCACGATGTAAATTCTTGTGAACAAAATCCTTGGAAAGGAGTAGCAGCAAAGGCGCTCGCTCAGCGCGTCAGGATGGCGGGCGATGCTGGGAGCCCGGCCTGGTGGGCGGCCGTGGGGTGCCCAGGGGGGCCCAGGCTCAACTGGGCTGGCAGCACGGGGAGGTGGTTGGTGATAGCGTAGCTCTCCGGGCAGACTTATTTATCATGGGTTTGGGTTTTTTTTTAATGGAGTAACCTGATTTGTGTTGTGCTATGTGATGCCAAGCTGGACTACGCCTGCAGCAGAATGGGCAACGTAGAGAGGGGCTTAGAACAGCGCCCTGGCTGTGTGAAAACTGGTCATTCATGGCTGTGCTCTGATACGGGCCTGAGGGCTTCGCTGTTCTTTGTATCAGAAGATTTATCTTTCTTTGTACTGGCTAACAGTTTTGACTTAAGGGAGTTTGTGAAGTGTAAAAATGTTACCGGCTGATCTACAAGTTTATTTGGTTTTTAAATTAAAATGCTTTTGAAAGCATAAACGTTCATTTTTAAGAGAGAATAACTAGATGTTTTGAATATTTTGGGCATAAAATCCTTTAAAATATTTGTTATAGATGTGACAGCTGAGGCAGTAGGTGTAGCTATTGCTGCACCCCCATCAGAAGGGGAGGCAAATGCAGAGCTGTGTCGCTACCTCTCTAAGGTGCTAGAAGTGAAGAAGAGTGAAGTTATTTTAGAGAAGGTACTTTTTTTTTTTATTTTTCCCCCCTCTTTCAGTTTTGCCCTACTGCAATTTAAATTCAAGATTTTGAAACTTACTCATTGAGTACAGGGAGCTGCTCTCCAAATTCAGTGTTTAGTTGAGTTAATGGAATGATTCATTGAGAACAAACCTAGTGTAGCAAGAACCACAGCTGATCTTGAGATCTTTAATTGGAATAATTCCCATCATGATATATTTTCCCAAATTTGTGTGGTTCGTGTTTGCCGTGTTCTTCAAAGATTCTCTTGTTTTCATGTCACATGCAGTTCACAAAATTTGTGCTTTGCAGAGAATGTGCATTTTATTAACAACTCTGGTTTTTTGAAATAGCTTCTGTATTGAGTGAAAGTTTTCTGACAATTAACTGTCACACATAAGCAAGAGCATATACAAACACTTGGATTATAGCTGGGCCTCAAGATTTTCTGTGTATTAGAATTTACATGTCTTGACTTTGGCGAGCAAAAACTCGTTGTTTTATTCATTGCACTGAATAAATAATTTGTTTTATTAATTCATTGTCCTTCGTCAGACTTTCCAGCCATGTTCATTTATAGTTTATGAACATAAGAACACAATGAAAAATTGAGCTTTTTATTTTTGTCTGTTGGTTTAACATAGTAGTTGTAAAAGTCTGAAGGATAGTGGTAAATGGCAATGTGATTAATGAATTGAGCACTGTGTTGCTGAAAGGTAGAGATGCAGAGATTTGAGTCTTGTTTTTCCTGAGTCATGGGCAAACTGCTTAATCTGTTTGTCAGCATTTTATAGATAACACTGCTTTCCTGCCTTAAAGGGATGATCATGTTTAACTAGATTATTCTCATTAGTGCTAAGCAGAGTTGAACATAAAACTCTGGCCAGTGTTGTCTGACCTTCTTGACTCAGTGTTCTGACCTACAGTGTCCAAATAATTACATGCTAGTGTTTGTTTTTCACAAGCCGCTGTTTGTTCTCAGTGAAGCATTGTCATGAAGTCTGTATTTTACCTGTGGCTTAGATTTTTCCATCCTGATCTGCTAGGTGTAAACAGCAAGTGATTTTTTTTTTTTGTACTGGTTGCTCTCTTACATGCTATTTGCTTTATGATAAGTGATAACATTAACAAAACCAGTCCAAATCAGGAAATCGGTGGGAAATGATCCCGTATAAAACTGGGGTTACCAGATTTCTGTGCAAGGGCCTTGATTTTCATCATCAGCTGTCTAGACTGCTTCAAAAATCTATTTTTAATTTTAAATTTCATGCTGTATTTCTGTATAGTAGTGTTAAGGACTTTTTCCTCTTTCAGGATGTCCCTTGTGAGCTTTTCAAACTTTTTGCCAGGCTGCAGATTAACATGCAACTTGTTTCTCATGGTTTGCTGAGTACTAGCAAAGTTGTGTCTTCAGGCAATATGAAATGAGGTGGCAAGTTTGCCAGTTCCTGTGTATTTTGTCAGTACTACAAAAACAGGTCAATAATATTTCAAATAACTTCTGTATGACTTTGAATGTCTTATAGGTTATATGCAATGTGATTTCTTTTCATGTAGTTGATATTATCAACCAGAGAACTCGGCTTAAGAGTAACTAATACTCTGGGAGACAACTCCGAAGAAAGATCTGAAAGTACACAGTTATCAAATATATACACACACTCTCTCTCTCTTTAAAAACAGAAATTAGTTGGAGTCTTGCTTCTAGATGATACAAGTGAATTACGGAAATTTATTACTCCTTGCTCTTCATTCTAGCTACAAAAAGAGCGTCAATTCAGGGCATGCTCTAGGAGCTGTGTCTAGTTTTAAAAGCATAGTAACTAAGACATTGTTTTCCACCTTTCAAATAACTAGACAGGACATTGATGAACTATTTCTTACTGCTGTTAATTCTGCATACCCACACTGTAAGAATTATTTTTAAAGTACCCAATATGTTGGCATTACAGTGAGATTTTTTTTTTTTAATGCATATTTGGTGGTGATTCTCTGAATGATACTTTTTTGTGTGTGTCTAAACCAGGGTGGTAAATCACGTGAAAAAGTGGTGAAGATTCTGGTATCGATGACACCAGATGAGATTTTAGAAAAACTGAAAAAAGAAGCTTCCAGTTGACCTAAGACAAGAGCGGGAAATGGGACAATGCATCTTGGTAAATGGACTGATACTCTTTCTTATGTAAATCTAGTCCTGTTGAGAATGTGGGTAATGAAAGATACTCCACCCTCCCATTAATATAGCTACTGTATAGTTGAACTTTTTGTGTAGGTTTGGTTAGAAAAAACTTGTCTTCACTGAGGCTCTGTATCTGCTTCTGTCACTACAGACTGTTTTCCCCTCTGGAGAGTTCCCTGTTGGTAAGATTTGTCCTCTTTCCTGGTCCCTAAACAAATGGTTTAGAAAACCTGTTTTAGTGAAACAAACTTTGGTTAACAAAGTGAAAGGCATGGAGTGACAGGCTTCAATGTGAAAAGTGGTACAAAACGATGAGTCTGGGTGGTAAAGGCCCTAGAAGAATATTCTCTTCAATATCTAGCAGCAAGTACTGGGTGCAGTTTTGCATGATGTGCACATATGTGCATCTAAAATAAATGTATTTGAAGCCAATATACTGTTGATCACACAGGCAAGCTAAAAGCAGAATCTCCTGAATAACTGAAACAAACCCAGAAGTTTCCAGTATGAAAAACTGACCCAGAACCTAGTAATTGCATACACAGTGTCACTTTGTAATAGTTTGTAATTAGTTTCCTGAAACGTAGAGATGCAATCATGTATCTTTGCCAAATGTATGTCAAGTGTAATGACTGTTTTTAATAAAAGGGGAAAAAAGTATTATCAAACTTTGTTTTGTGTTTATATTTTTAACAACAAAAAAAATTGTTTCCTAGAAGTCACTTATTAGAATGTTATTTTTAAACAGGGCTTTTTTGCAATATCCTTGGTTTAAAAATGGTACTCCAACCCATAGAGAACCGAGCAGAGTCATTGGTAGAACAGAACAAGAAGTCTGAAACAAAATGGGCAACTATACTCCAGTTTCAGGGCTAATGAGAAGAAGGGTTAACTTCTCTCTTTATCATGCTTCAGAGGTCAGAGTAAGATTTTGGTTTAGTGGTGGACTTGGTAATGTTAGGTTAATGGTTGGACTGGATGATCTTAAAGGTCTTTTCCAACCTAAACAATTCTATGATTTAACTAGTATTTCCCAAAAATGTATGTGATATTGCACATGTCTCTGGTAGGAGTTTGCTTTTTCATCTGCATTGCTGCTGATGTCTGAAATTGTCCTATCATTACTATGGTTGTCATATTTAAATATATATATATAATTAAAAAAAAAAAGTAA